CCCCCCCCCCCCCCCTCTATCAGCTTACCCACACGATGGCGATTGAGACAATGGTAATGACGGGGTTAAACCGCACGTGCAGCAGCCCCTTTCCCCTCCCCCATTCCCACTGGAAGAGATACCGTCTCACCTTCTCACCATGGTCACTCCTCGCATCCACGGGCAACACGACGACATGATCCGACACTACTGTATCCTCCTCCCCGCCTCCAGCGGCATCCAGCACGTGGTGGTCACCGCTCTCGACGGCCGTCGTGGTCAGGAGGCTGTGCTGGTCTCGGTCCGGCAGCGAGGGCGGTGTGTCGGTGGGGGCAGCCAGGGAATTGGCCAAAGTGCCTCCAGACTTCATGGGAGCTGAGTCAGCCATCGCGAAAAAGCTCTTCTTTCCTCTCTCCAGCGAGGGGTTGAAAAAAGAGAGACTGGGGGCGAACTCGCATTGCGAGCTTGTGGGAGTCTCCCCTCTTCTCCGAAATCGAACCACCTTGTACCTCTCCTGACGCCTCACTCCCTCAGACGTGCAGCAGACGGCAAAGACCTCATCGATGTCCGAAGGCGTGAGGTTGCGGCCTTTCGCGCCCTTCCGGAAGCTACGCGTCCGACTGCTCGCCTTTAAGAAGCCCCTGCTGCTTCGTAGCACCTCACGTAGCCCTCGCGCAGCCGGTGTTGCTCTCTCCCTGGGTGGCTTTCGGCACTGGGTGATCAGTCTGAGAAGGCTGCAGCTGGGGCGGGCGATTGGCGTGCTGTTCAAGGCCTTACGGCGTGTGACGTCATCACGGGTGGCGAGGGCGCTGTGTGGGGTGACGGTAGCCATCCTGCTGTCGAGGCATCAAGTGGTCTCGGGGCGGGCGAAAGAAAGAGGTAGGTCAAAGCAGCCAGCGGAGTTCTCATCGGTCTACTCTCTGTGTGCTTGTGTGCTTCAGACCCTCGCCCCGAGCACGTCTGTCACCACACGCGCACAGGCGGCGGCCGTGGCGAGCCTTATGGGTACCAGTCGGTGGATTTGCAGATGGCCTGTCTTGCCCGCGGTGCCATCCATGAGAGCAGCGGCGATGCATGGGGGTGGACCGTACACAGCGTCATCAAAGAGAATGATGATGTGGTACGTACGCAGACAGACAGGGCGGGTGCGTTTGGCGGGTGGATATAGGTGGATGGATGTTGTCATGCCTGCTGTGCTGCAGGGAGTCGTGTCCGTCAAGCCGTCGTTAGCTCAGTGTGCCATAGCCTTCAAGGGCACTCACGAATGGGACGACTGGCGCAACGACTTCCGCATGCACCCGCTGCAGAACCTGACGGCTAGGGACGGCAACGTGTAAGACAACACACCACAGACATGACACAACCATAGTGGATGGTATCTGGCTGGCATCTCTCCCATCTGGTCCAGCTATGGGGTGCATTATGGCTTCTACAAGGAGTACGAGACCATCAAGTCGTCCCCCAGCTGGTCCACATGGACCGCTCTCCTGGCCTCGCCGCAGTGCAGCGGCGGCATCTTTATCACCGGCCACTCGCTGGGCGGCGCCATCGCCTCGCTCCACAAGCTCGAGCACTTCGGCGAGGCCGCCGAGGGGGCCGTAGTTTATAGCTTTGCTGCACCGAGGCCCACCAGGGAGGGCTTCAACGACTGCAATGGGTTCAGATACTACCTGCAGTCATATGCTGGCATGGGCAGCGATCCAGGTACGACACAAAGATACCTCCTCACGGATGTCTTCCGCCCTCTAATCTCAATTCTCTTGTGGGCCCTTGACTCATTCATTCGTTTGACAGTTCCCGGGTTCCCCCGCTCCCTGCAGCACGGCCACACGGGTGTGCTCCTCCTGCGCGGCCTGTTCGGGTGGTCTCGAGTGGTGACGGGCTGCGGCGACCAGGGAGGAGGCGGCATCGGCCTCCACCAGCACAGAATGCGCAAATACATCTTCCACATCTGGAAGACAGACGACCCACACGCACAGATGGAGCTCAGCGAGAGCCAGCAGCACCACACCGATGCAGAGCTGCCGGCCACTGTAGCCACTTTTGACCACGACGGCACCCAGAGAGGTCAGCAATTCCACTCACGAGAGAGAGAGATCTGCCCTTCCGCCTGTGAGAGTGCCTACCGCTTTGTGTGTTGTGTTGTGTGCGAATGGTGGATGTGTGCAGTGCCGGCGTCTCGTTTGCGGCACAAGGTGTTCTTTGTGGAGTGGGTCATGAGCGCCAGCCACTACTACTTCAAGAGGCAAAGACGGCAGCACACCGACTGCCCTCTCGGCCTGCCCCACGACCCGCCCTGCCGCGGCAGACACAAGAAGAATAGCAGCAACAACAAGACAAACCTCCGCACCAAGCCAACTGCCAACAGCACCGTCACTGTGAGCATGAGCGTTCCGGTTGCTCCCAATGTCGAGCCTGGAGCAGCAAATGTAGCTGTAGGTGATGACGGGACACTGATTGCTGCGGGGAGGGGAGACGGAAGGGCGAGGCGAGACAGCCGACATGGTGACGAGCTGTGAGTGAGTGAGTGAGCGAGGGTTTTGCTGTACCAGTACGGACGGCGATTTTGTTGTCTATTGCTTGGTTGCTTGCTTGCTTGGGTGTATACATAACCGATGGATGGGCAGACACTGACGTGGGTGGGGGGCTTATGACGTACGTCCATGTCGATGTCATCATGTATAGAGAGGGGGGAGGGGGAGGGGAGGGGAGTGTTTGCTCCCTCCACCAATTTGTCATTGGCTGTCCGGTGTTTGTCTTGTTGCTGGTTGATGGATACGGTCGGTCAGTCAGTCAGTCAGTCAATCACACACAGGGCGATGTGATTCGATTCGGCTGAGTGTTTGTGAAGCAGAGAGAGGTGGCTTTGCACAGTTGACTGACAGGGGGGGGCAGGGGAGCAGCTAGCTGGTTTGCCGTGCCGTCCGTGTGAGTTTGCTGGTTTGCGTGCGTGTGGCCTCCATGTACACTTCCTCCTGTTTGTATCCAATCCACACAATGCGCTCACTGTCATGACACACCGTGTGGCCGCACACATGACATGTACAGGAAGGTCAGGCCTGAAGGCGTGTCGCGTCCAGTTCGACGCGACGATCCGCTGGGTGCGCGTGCGTCTGTGAGTGTGAGGGACAGACACTGCGAGAGATGAAAAAGTGAAGTCATGCAGCCAACATAGAAATCTCATCCACCCCCACAACGCTAGATGCAGTAGACTCTGTGCCGTCGCATTCCAGACTTGTGGCATAATCCACGAGATCTGCGCTGGATGAACTTCTTCGTAGATGCGGCGCCGTTCTCTTTCTCCATGCGCGCACATAGGGTCCGCCGTAATCACGACATTGCTTTCACATTTGCGAGCTTAAATTTGGCGAGAATCGCGGCGAGATTTCAGATCATAGCCGTCTCCGAGACAGGTTTGTGAGAATAAGGGATATCAGACAGTTTCCAAGCCGGCTGCCCTCAATTCTCACTGTTCGCCTCACATCTCCTTCGTTTCTGTTCATTTTTCGGCGGGAGTGGTCGGGCGCCACCCGCCCGAGGCCCACGCAGCCCCCCCTGCTCGCCGTTTGCGAAGAGGACAAGTCCACCTGACCGCCCTGACCCTCCCGTCAGACGCTGACATCAGCCTGAGCCTCCCTCCTTCCTTGGTGAGTGGTCGTTGGCTTGTGCGCTCCGCCCCGTCCCCTTCCGCCCTCGACTTGTCCGAATGTCGTCTGCCACTTCCTTCCTCTAACGCCGTGCCGCGAGTCAGGCCTCAGCGGTGGCGCCCTGCCTTCTGCGAATGGGTGGCAACGGTCACCGCCTGAAACCTGTCGGCGTCAGCTGAGTGCGCGGACGCCTTCTCTTGTCTTCACAAACGTTAAACATCCTCTCAGGTGAGTACACGTGTCATATCTCTTTTTTTGTTGTTGGCTGCGGTGTCGGCATGGTGTGTGGATGATGTTCGAGGATGACTGGGTGGTCCGTTTCATTGCTGTGGTCATCTCATGTGCCCTGTTGGCATGTTTGTGTGCAGATGAAACACTTTGGCGTTTCTCCCCATGGCCGTCTCCTTTTCTCGACGGAGTCCTCAAAAGGTGAAGGAAATATTCAATGAATCAGGTGTTCAGTGTACCTTGACTGTATCAGTGTTGACGCTAATCATGCCTTTACTGCTCCACAGACAACTCTTTTCGACTCCAGGAAAGGAAACAGAAAGCCGGTGAGCGGAAGAAACAAACAAACGAAGAAAGTTGAGCACATTCTGTGTGTAGCGCCGCCGTCGACGACAAGGCCGAAGTCCCATCGTCTCTCGAGCTTCCTGTCCAAAGAGAAATAAACGCCAACGCTCCCGCTCCTCATCTCTCTCTCGATCGACGCCCAACGCCTCCCTCATCGCCTCCCTCATCGCCTCATCGCCTCATGGCCTTGTACGCTTCAAAGAAATGGTAACGAAACCCGGCCCCGACTTGTGGACGCGCATCGACGCCACGGCAACACATACAGCAACAAACACCCCCCCACCGACGGCCTTCGCCCTTAATCCTCCTAAATCAAAATCATCAATGCAACGAACTCCTCCGCCCCTGCACAGGACAGACAGACAGACAGGCAGACAGACGCATCGCATCGCATCGCATCGCATCGCATAAATACAAACAAATAGAGAATGTATAGAGCAGAGACCGACAGCATACGTGTACGTGTCTATGCGTGTACGTATGTACCTATGTGTCTGTGTGTTTGTGTGTAGCTAGCTAGCTAGCTAGCTCTTGTTAGTTTGTTGTTTGTGAGGGTCTTCTTTGTCGTTTGTTGCTTGCGGCCCCAGATGGACAGACAGACAGACAGGCGGGCTGTCTTTCTTCCTTCGTTCGGTGGCATTGTGTCTTACCCAACGCGCAGGTACGCATGCAAAGACAGACAGAAGAAAAAGGATTACCCACATGTACAATTCTGCTCCTTTGTGTCTCTGTCTGTCTGTCTGTCTGTCTGTCTTCTCGTGACGCTCCTTCAGATGTAAGCAGGCCGCTTTGTATGGACCAGCATCATGATGGCGCCAAGTTGCGCCGCCAACTGAGCTGCTCGCCACGAGGACCATCTCTCAGGTACATGTGCTGGGCACACTGGATCATGACGATGAAAGAAGTGCTTCTTTGACTTGACATCAGACTTGACCGACCTGTGCCAGCGCGCGCAACTCGTACATTCGTTGACGCTAAGGGGAGGGAACAAGAGACACATGAGAGCACTGACGGCATGTCTCTCTGCTTTCTTCCTTTTCAGGCTCTCATCGCTGCCTGTGTTATGTATTTGTTGGAGCTCAATGAGTGCAAACGACACTCTTCAATGCTATGGAAGTGAGAAGGCAATGCACACACAAAGACATGAGAAATGAGTGTCATCACCAGTTTCGCAGAAATCGGTGACGGAGCCGGAAGAGCAGCTGGACTTGACGCAATGAAGAAGCCGTGTGTGTGGGTGAGAAAAAAAGGGAGGGAATAGACCAGTGCACATACACATGGGAAAGAGAGGGAAGAGAGCAGTGAATATGGAATGGATCGAGAGCTCTTCTCCTGTATTATCTGTGTCGCGACGTCGTTGCGGAGACACGCGGAATGGTCACCATGATGACGGGGGTGTCTGTGGGCACGACAAGCCTGCTGCCGGTGTGTTTGGCGAGACGAAGGTCAACAAGGCTCAGAAGGAGAAGGAAGAGGAGGAGCAACAATTCTGCAGGTGGGTGTGAGGGAGAGGGTGGGTAAATTGAAGGGGGACTGCATCCAGGGGTGTGTGTGTGTGTGTCTTGTGTGCAGCATTTTGCCCGCATTCGCTGGCAATCCCAAGCATGCCTGACGGCAGCGACAGACCACATCCCGACAGGCGCCACGCATATGCGCCCCTGACCAAGGAGAAGGAGGCGCTGAGAGGGAGCGGGGATTGGAGGACTTCGGCATCATCCACCGATATGAGGAGGAAAAGGGGAATTGCACGGCTGGCTTCAAGAAGCGCCATGACATGCGCACCATCCCCGGCGCACATCCAGTGCAATACTGCGACGTAAGCCAGGGATGAGGGCGGACGCGAAGGCATGTGTTGCATGAAATTCACTCCTCACTGCGTGGGCGTTGTGTCGTCATTTATGAGTGCAGCAGTCCAGCCATGTGCGCAAGGCGGCCCAGGCGAGAGCATCACCGACCTGTTCAAGCCGCAGATGGCGCAGGAGAAGGCGACGGCGGTAGGTCACTCAGCCAACCTGGCCAGACAGCCCTTTCACACTCTCGTCCCATCGCCTTTTGCTTGGTCCTGTTGCTGACTGGCTGTGTGTGCAGCACGTGAGTGTGGACCTCCTTTACACCAAGGGCGAGACGCGCTATGTGAGGGACAAGAGGCCAGTCAAATACACAGACGCACACCAAAACTCATCCAGGTGACATAATGCCACAATCAACAAAGCAATCAACTTGATCATTTGTCTTGTCTCTACACGTGTGTGTGTGTGTGTGTGGTTTGTGCAGCATGTTCAGAATGGTCTGGAGGAGAAGATGACTGTAGACTTCGCCGGGCTCCGCCGAGCAGCAGATGCTCGACGAAGCCATCCGACTGGGCATGGTGGAGGAGGTGGTGAATGCCTGAACGAAATCAAGGAATGCCTGTTCCCTCACAAGAAGTGCTACGCAGCTGAGTGAGGGCGGGAGGGAGGGGAGGCAGGAACTAACGCACCGGACAGGCATGGGGAATGGATGGATGTCACCTCGCATCTTTCTTTCTGTCTGTGTGTGTGTCAGTGTGGTGTGTCGAGTTAGTTGGTTGGGGGATTTGAGTCCGTCGTGTGAGTCGCGTGTGGAGTCGGAGGACCGTAGTCGCCAGGCTAAAGCCAACAAGCGGAAGGTCAGTCACCCAGACACACACAGAGAGAGGAAGAGAAACAGGGCCATGTGTGTGTCTGTATGTGTGTGTGTGGTGTCATCAATCCACCACTTCACTCGGCAAAGACCCACGGGGAGGCATATGGTATCCTAGTATGGGGCCGAAACAGTAAGGGAAACGACGGAGCAGAGTACATACAAACACCCTTATCTGTCTGTCTATCTCTCCCTGGTATCCGTGTCTGTGTGTCCATCCGTATAAATGCAGGCCCTCCGGTGTCATGTGACAAGGCGTTCCATCAATGTGGTGAGAGGACGAGACAACAGACATCACTCTGCGAATGCTTGTTGCCTTTCATTCATGTCGTCTGTATTTGCTTGTGTCTCGAGTGTGTCTCCATCAGATTCGCGGCATTCTTGGTATCGATATTTGTGGTCTTCTCCGCCGCAGTCGTCTGCATGATAGAAGCAGAGTGGCGGCCAAGGCACGGCACCTACACGTGCCTGTAGCAAGGACTGGCAATGCCTTCGAGTGCATGCGCTCGCCCCTTCCCAGCTGGACGCGCTGCTCTCGTTGGCGCTGTTCACAGAGACCGGCTCCGACGACCTTTTCCGCGACAACGCCAGGCTCTTCACAGAGCATCAGGACGAACAATTGAAGGTGACTCAGATCATTGTGGTTTTACAGAAGCGGAAATTCATCCAGTGCAGAATGCAAGGATGCTCCTTCTCACTCTGCGCCCTCTGTCTTCTGGGTCTTTCGTTCGCCGGAGAGAGAGGGGCGAGGCGTCGCCTCACGGCTGCCTACATTTTATATTGCGCGGAGATACGTTCCTATTCCGGCGCAGCGCCCCCTTACCCCACCCGCCTCGGTGCGGCGCGAGTCATTTCGGCAGCCTCTTCTGCTTGCCCTTCCCAACCAGGGCGAGGAAGGGCGAGGGAGGGTCTGCCGACCAAGAAAGACTTCGAGAGCGTCACTGGATTCCTGCAGGAGAACAAGCCGATGCCCGACGTGCTATTTCAGCAGGTGATTGGCACAAAAAACGGACACAGACACTGGCGCATCCGTTTATGTGTGTGTCCTCCCTCCCACTGTATGCGGTATATCTCTGTCAGTGCCACTCTCACTCAACCGGGTTCGCCGCGGCAGTTCCCCACCCCCGTGCCGCGGAAGAAGCGTGCCTCCACCACCCTGCGGCCACGATCCCCTCCGTCATGCGAGTCAGGAGGGCGAGGGTGAGGAAACCGATGAAGGGACGGGTAGCATCGACATCAAGAACATCAACGCTGGCGACCTGACCTCCTCGGCGAGGGCGCAGGGGTCCCCTGGCAGGCCTATGAGGGCGATCTTTTGCTCTGCATTTCCTATGGCGTGGCCGAGAATCTGTGCGACAACGACATCGAGGCCGTCATCAACAGAGTACCCGGTTCACCCGCAGCCGACGACGTCGCGTCAGCATTGTGCTCGGCGCAACAAACGTTGTGTGTGTGTCTCGGTGTGTGTGTGCAGGTCAATGGATCGATTGCTGCCACTGCTGAGGTCTCTTGTTTCGCTGCTATGCTGTCTTGGTATTCGCTGCTGCACCCAACAATCATGGTACGAATGCGCGCACTCACACACATCACGGAACATCATTTACGCAACGATCATTCACGATGGATCGTTTGTGTCTCTAGGCGTGCTGCCGCAATGCGACGATGAGCACACCAAGGGCAAGATGGCGGAGCGGCTAAAAGAGGTCGAAAGGGCAGGCTGACCAAGCCATCGTCTAGAAATGGCACGCACTCGCCGCTCAGACGCTGCCAAGTCCGCCACGCTGATCGGCACGCATGAGGACCTCTGCCCGCAAACATGTATTGAGTTCCTTCCGTGTGTCAGGCGATGAGTGGCTGCCCCTCTTGTGAATTCCTCCAGGCCATGTCGGAGGCGCTGGACGCACCGCCTGAAGCCGAGAGCGCCGACCCGAGACCTTACCACAAGAGGGCGGCGACGGCAGCGACCACCAGGCGGCAGCCAGCAGCAGCAGCAGCGCGGCGACCCCTTCGCCACTAGCGGCGACCCCTTTACCACTGCGACTTGCTGTGCAACGGCCCCAGAACCAAGAGCATCCTACCTCTCCGCGGCAACGAGCGAGGGAGGGAGACGGCATCACGGACGGCATCATCCATTCATCCATCAGCTGCTGCTGAAGATATCCTCCTCGTGCCGATGGCTATGTCAGCTATTCGAGATGGACAACGAGGGACGGAGACGGCATACTCACATCACGGACGGCATCATCCATTCATTCATCCATCAGCTGCTGCTGAAGATATCCTCCTCGTGCCGATGGCTATGTCAGCTATTCGAGATGGACAACCAGGGACGGAGACGGCATCACATCTGGGGCGCTGATCTGGTCTTTGTTTGATCCACAGAAGCGTGAACGTGCCGCCGCCGCCGAGGAAGTCAAGAACGATTGCGTCCACAAGAAAGGCCTGGTCCACATGGTCGATCTCCTTGCCCCTGCAGACAAAGAGGTAGACCAGGATTTCCACCAGGATTCCACTCCGGAACGGAGACGCAAATTCTTCGTTGATCTGCAGGCTCCGTGCGACAGATGGGGGAGGCAGAAGGCCGCCAGGAGGGCCGAGAGGAGCGCAGATCTCACCTGAAGATGCAATGCACACACCAATTCTCATCCGTTTCATCCCCGCTGGCCATCCTCGGCCAATGATGTACCATCTTCTGCAGCATCGAGAAAGCGGCAGGGGCGTACAG